AGCTCAACAAAGGCATTCTGTCAGAAAAAGAATTTGGGGTTCTTAAGAGGCATCTAAGCCCCAAAACATGAAGCTAAATACTTGCAACGCGCTGGCAGGAATTGACAAAGATCAATTATATGTTGATGATTGTGTACACTTAGAGACACAGTGAAAAAAAGAAATCTGTTGCAGAAATGTTTTTGTCAAGATTGCTTTATTTCCAAACCCGAATCAAAGTAAAATAAAACTATATATTTAGAAGAATATTCAGGCTCTAGAGTGAAAATCTGGAGAGAAAGAATACCTGAGAGAAGTTCTGCTTTGAAAACTACCTACAATTTCTTAATTCTCAAGCTATCACATTTTTGATAATTAAAGATATGCACAGAGTTTTCAGAGTTTCCTGTGTTTATATGTATTCAGTGTTTCTTGTTTCGTAGACCTTTTTCTAATTACTTTTAACTGAATCATTAACTTCTGTGCTCTCTAAGGATATCTCTGGCAAACATATGTTTTTTATATTCAGTTAATATACCTTTTTTACCTTGTTAGTTGTAAAGAAAAAAACAAAGCAATCCCCCTAGCTTAAGGGACAATTAGTTACTTGTTTTATCTGAAATTGAAACAATTTAACACAAAGAAAATTTAATTTTCTTCAGCCCTTAAGTACTGCATGAGCAAATGAAAAAGATTAATAAAGCCAGAATACATTCTCAAGAAAGCACCATTAGCTGTGTTTATTGTTATATAACAAACTAATAAAACTGTACCTTGATTGTTTCTATTCACAAATGCAGTAGTATGGATGCAGTAGTAGGATGATAAAAAAATTTTATCCCAAAGAACTGGAATATTGCAATTATTCAGGTTATTGCATTATGTGTTATTTGATTTCATCCATCTCATTAATGGTACACTACAAAGAATATAGTTCGTATTGTTTCTTTGTATGATATTAATGTAAATGATATGAACATGGAAAATGTAACGTCTAGATTAAACTTACTGGTTTCAGACTAGTAACTTGAACAAAAATATACTACTAGCCCAGCCATAGTCAAAATGAAACTCTCAGAAAATTGAAGTTATAGAGTATCCTTTTCTCAGGGATATAAAGTTGTTAATTCAGAATCAAAAGAACCTTATCTGCTCAGATTCTGATGTATCAGTTCAAGTTCTGACAAATTATTAAGTCATTTGGTGAAAATATAGAAATATATTTTTTATGTAAGTGTGTTTTATGTAGAAGACTGTGGCTTGTAGACACCACTAACTTAATAGAGTAGAAAGGACAAAGCAAGAGAAGCAAGGTCACCATCAGCAACCTCTGAGCAGCCTTCTTATTTACACAACTTCTACAGACAAAACAGGAGTGACTATTCAGTTTACTGAAAACCTGGGGTTTTCATTACTACTGTTAGCAAATTGTATATTGTCAGGAGAAAATATCACCAGACATTTTATTTCTTCTCTGACTTACTCAAAGTATTACAGAATTTTCCTGGTTTCAGCTGGGACGGTTATTTTTCCTCCTAGTAGCTGGTGCAGTGCTGTGTTTTGGCTTTAGTCTGAAAATAATGCTGGTAACACACTGATGTTTTAGTTGTTGGTCAGTAGCACTTACTCTGATCAGGGACTTTTCAGTCTCTTGTGCTCTGTGCCAGTGAGGAGGAGCACAATAAGCTGTGAGGGAGAAGAGACAGGACACACAACCCACAGTAGCCAAAGGGATTTTATGATTCAATGATAAAGGCAGTTTAAGGTCTGCATTTAACCCTGCATAAATAATCTTATTTGAGGATCCAGGTATACTGCAGGCAAAAGTGGCAATTTTAGCATCTATAAACATATGTGAACTTTACAGTATTAAATCTAGCCACCCTTCACATTTGAATTGCAGTAGTGGAGAGCTCAGTTCGTCATAGCTGCTCAACAGACTGCCTGGGACTCATATCAGAAGTAGGTCACTATCAGAATCAGAGGTGAACCCTGCAATATCAATGAACACATTTTATCAGCTCCAGATCTAGCTAACTAAAAGATAGCTCTAGAATATGCATAAGAACTCCATTAGTGCCTCTTACCCATAATACAGCATACCCGCTGCTAATATCACTGGACTTTCTACCCTTCTCTGCTTTGTGCTGACTAATGGGAAAGCAGTGATGCCCTGACCTGCAGAACTCTAGAGGTCCCCACAAGGCCATTCTACAAACCATGTCACCAGTTCAGAGGAAACAGACTCGTTACACAGTGATATTATTTAATATGTTTCAAGGTATCTCAGGAGTTAATAGAATTATGTGACTTCAATGACTGTGTTCTTTTGCTTAAAGAGAAAACTATTATTTTAGAAAATAAATAAGCAATATGTAAAAGACTGCAAAGACATCAGCTATTAATGAGTTTCTGATTCCATGTACATTTTAACTCCATATATATCTAACTTTAATCATTACTGCTTCAAAAAAAGAGATGTGGAAAATCATTGCTTTCTGTAGCACCCAAAGTGATACAAAATGGCTGGTGATCAGGATAGTTCTTCAGAATTCACTGCAGTGGCTAACAAGAGCTCAGAAGACCTGGCCCACTCTTAAATTTCTACAGCACCAAGGTAAGTGTGGCAAAACAGCTAATGTCATATGGAGATACCACAAGCCTGGGGAAACACCATGCAGAGACATCACAAATCCCTACTGTAAAGCTTAATACAGCTCCACAGGGTTTTTTCGGCATTCCCTCATGACATGCCCAACTGCATACATCACAAGTTACTGAAACTTTATCACAAATACTGAGCAAGTTAGCAAAAGACTAGAACATGAACTCAGTTCACAAGCACTGCAAGATGAGAACCAAGTTTATGTACATTCTACTTTCTTATTTAGGTAACAAGTGGTTTAATGTTAATAGATATAAGCAGACCTGCGACACCAAAAATACTTTATTTTAAGTATTTTGTCCAGTTAATGATCAGCTCTATCTCTTTTCTTCTGCTGGTTTGAGGCCACTTACTGACAGGTCTATCTATTTTTCATGAGCCTCACAGGACTAGCATGACCTTGCATCAGGCTCCTGCTAGACTTTGCATCCTGCTCCCTTACAGTAGTTACATTTCTGTGTATATTTTCCCCCGAGATTTGTTAGCAGCTCTGAGTGATATTTGGACCCTACAAAAGTTTCCATGTTTACTTTAACCAGAACCAATGCTCTGCAATACAAAGCACTGTGCAAGCAAATATCCAAAATCATAACTCTCACATACAGTAACAGAATAACAACAGACACCATCCACATGCAGAAAGGAACTGGGGAAAATCTGCAAAACATGACTAATGTTCTGCTACCCTTAAGAAATAGCATGCTCCTTGAAAGATTATACAACCTGGAAATATTACATCTATTTCATAAAGTCTGCATATTAGAATATTCATACTAAAGACGTTTATTGTTTAGGCATGATATGTTGTACTAGACATTGAGGTCTAACTGAACCCTTAAAATATTTATGTATAGATAAAAGACATTATTATAGGTAATTTAATGAATTCTAGAGTTTCAAAATTTTAAAGAACTTTAGAAGTGATCACACCTTTCTATGGCAAGGTGGTGCAGGAAAAAATAAACTCACAGCCAAAGTTTCCTTTCATAAATGCCTTTCTGATTTTAGGAGGAATCTGGCCTTATTGATTTACTTTTGGTATCAGTGTTTTGTACTTAAATGGTCATTTAATGTACTTATGCACTGAGTGTTCCACTGTTTCCACGTTCCTCAAAATGCTGATATTTGTATTTATTTAGAAATAATTACTAAATGTTTTATTATAGATTTGTCTTAGTTATTAATATTTTTATCTACCATTATAAAAGCAGCATCATGAACAAGATTTTGTAAACACTGGTATGTATAGTGAGTTGGAAAGTAAAAGAATGTCTGTTCCGTAAAGTGATCAAAAGTCAACATTGTTGAGGATACACTGTCAATTGATTATGCAATTTTCCATTACTTAGGACAAGGTTGCTACTCTGTTTTACAGAAAAAAAAGGACAAAGACTACCTCACACATTTATTAACACAAGAGTAAACTAACTAAGATAAATGGGAAACTGTCATGATCTCATTTCTGAATATACCTGAGACTTTTTTATATACATAAAAGAGTTTTCAGCAGACAGAACTTACCCTAAAGGCATTTAGTGTAAACGTATTCTTCAGTCCTGTTAATTTTTGCAGTATGCATGCTAAAATTCTTTGCAAATGACTGACTGAAAAACATAATAACATTCCACTCTGATCATAGATGATCACTTGCATGGTAAAAAAAAAACTTAAGAAATTTCCAGTTTCTTTTAATCTATTGAAAATATAAACAGCATAACTGAATCAAAATAAATGAGATAAAATAAGCTACATTTCATTTCTGAATGCCTAGTATCTTGATTTTCTTTCTTCCTCTGTAACAACCTAGTGCTTTATGGTAAAACAATTGCATTAACGCAATATTAAAAATGGTTCTTTTTGAAGAATTAAATCCTAGAGACATTATGCAATTTAGCAAGATTGCCTGTACCTAATGAGGAAAAAAAGAAAATATCCAGCAACAAAAAACCAGAAATCACACTAGCTAATGCCAGAAAGAACTTAAGCATGTACAAACCCATTCTTTATTTCACTGCATTTTGCACATAACATGAATCCTGTGTTTCTGGAGTTCACATCAAATAAAGAATAAAATGTTCCATTCCCAGTGCTGAGGTCATTTGAAGTATAAAATATACATGCTTAGAATCTCCTTTCTTTAGGATGAAACATTTCTTTCAAGAGCCAAGCAAGGTTTCAAAAGAAAAAAAAAATCATTTTTGACAAGAAGGAAGCTTTCATTGTTAAGATATTCTCAAGGCAAACCTCTACTGATTGCTAATTTAGGAGGTGTAAGAATTAAACTTTGTAGTTTGAGACTGAAGAAATTAATTTATGTTAGCTGTAAATTAAGAAACAAAAGATTAAAACCACATACCTTTCGGGAATGGATTTCTTTCACGTATAATGGAAGTAGAAATTCAGATATTCCTTCAAGTCGTATTCCTTTTTTAGTCACTCTCAAATTTCCCATTCCATCCTACAATTAATAATATATATAATTCACTTTAGAAAATAACCTTATCCAGAACAAGCTAAAAAGAACACAGTAGCTGGCCTAATACCTAAAACTAATGAATACTGTCCCGCTGTTCGGAGCTCCTCTGATGATCTTGGACAGCAGCTAGATGGGGGAGGATTTATAGGTAAAGCTTCATCTAGGATCGAGGTATTAAACTGTGTAGCCTGATGATGAACTGCATACATTATTCCTTAGCTGTACCTAATGCAAGGGTACAAATGTAGAACCTAAGTATTCCTTTGCTGAAGAGGTGAAGCTAGATCTAGAATTACAACTTCTACATCACTAGTTAATTTTCTCTAAATATATATATATATAACATTAGGAAGCAATCTGCTATTTTTACATAGTGAAATAATAGAAAAAATCTTATGTCATTATTAGGAAAATATCATACACGAAGAAAGAAAAAAGGGGGCTTTTATTAGTAGTTGATCGTCACTACTAGGAACATGTTGCTGGTGAAAAGAAGAACTTCAAAAATGTTGAGGGCTGTTTTCAGCTGTTATTTTTTTGGTTTATCTGAATAAAAATAGGAAAGGGGCCATTGCAAAAGCCTGGATATAACAAGCAAACCAAACGATTCAATGTTTAATATCATATAAGCAAAGAATAGTTGCATTTATTGGCTTTGGCTGCATTTTTACAGGAAAAACTATGAAAAATAAGGCTTTGGTTTTATTCTTACAGAAAATCAATGAAACTTGCTTGAGACAGAATCCTTTTGCATTCTGATAGAAATTCAAGACTTTTTACCCCTGGATGCTTGTTACTATAATACTGACAGAAGATAATTCTTTACCATACAGGCAGTGGAATTCAGCTAGATCCGCTTAAGTGCAAAATTGCCACATTTAACTTAATTGCTGATTAAATGTTTTGATGCCATTGCTGACCCTAATGTAGCAAAACAGTAAGAACTTGCATTTCTGTTCTGTTGTCTGAATTGTGAAACAAATAACCTCCACTTGCTGGGCAGTTGTAAATAGCTAGATAAAAGTGTACCCAACTGCTACAGCTGATGCTGGAAGAGGACGCCGAGTCAAACACTATTATGCTTATCTAAGGATGGTGTAGCCACTATACCATTACAGCTATTCCCTTTCAAATCAAATGATGCCAGTATGGCAGATATTTGATTGACATCACTCCATCCACATCTGAAGCAAAACTGTGAAAATGTTAATTCTTTCTGACAACAAACAGAATTACACTTCATACAATGCAATTCAGCCGATAAAGTTTCCGAAACACAGCAAGGATATGTGATAGGTAGCTTTCCACGCTATAACAGATCTGTAAAGAACATACTGTTAGAAATCATGACTTCACATATGAGTTATAGGACTTGAAGCCTACATGCTTCTGACTACAAACCCAGAAACTACCAGAGTCAGAAAATATACTGAACTCCTTTCCAAAGCAAAGAAATATGGAATAACAAAATGTAATGTTAAGGCTTTCTATAGTATGGAATATCCTTGTTAAAGTAATGGCATCAAGAGAAATTCACAGACTCTGTAATAGTTTATATGTTTACCAAAATGTGTAACTGATTAAATAAAGCCAAGAACTTTTCTTCAACTTTTGTTAGAAGTGTTGTTGTATTCAAACTATATATCATGGTTTAACTTTGTCCAGCAACTAAACCCCATGTAGCTGCTCACTCATACACACACCCCATCCAGTGGGATGGGGGAAAAATCAGAAGAGTAAAAGTGAGAAAAAATGTGGGTTAAGACAGTTTAGTAGGGAAAGCAAAAGCTGCACACTAGCAGAGCAAGGAATTCCATCACCACTTCCCATCAGCAGGCAATGTTCAGCCATCTCCAGGACAGCAGGGCTTCATCATATGTAACAGTTACTTGAAAAGACAAAAGCTGTCACTCTGAACATCCCCTCTTCCTCCTTCTTCCCCCAGCCTTATATGCTGAGCATGATGCCATATGATATGGGGTATCCCCTTTGTCAGTTGGGGTCAGCTGTCCTGGCTGTGTCCCCTTCCAGCTTCTTGTGTACCTCCAGCCTACTCGCTGTGGGGTGGTGTGAAGAGCAGAAAAGGCCTTGACTCTGTGTAAGCACTACTCAGCTATAACTGAAACATCCCTGTATCAACACTGTTTCCAGCACAAATCCAAACCATAGCCCCATACCAACTAACATGAAGAAAATTAACTCTACCCCAGCCAAAACCAGCACACTATGATAGCTGAATTACCAAATGCTTTTTAAAGAAGTAATGTAATATTTTAAAATGTTTTCCTTAAATCAAGATATCAGATGTCTATAAAAATTATTTCACACATAAAACATCAAGCATTTGTAGGCTTTCTAACAAAGTGCAATATAAGAGAGTGGTGACTATTTTTGAAAAGGAAGTAAGACAGACTTTACTTCTGAATGTGTAATCTGCATTATTATCCATTAATACTCAATTTCAGCAACCCTGTTTTTCTAGATATGCTATAGTAATAATTTATAAAATCGTAATAGGAAAGAATCACTTGAGAAAAAAAACAACCACCATGCTCTATTTTTCTCAGCAAATAAATACTCAACAAGAAATACGTACCTATTTATTGATCTTAAAGGTCTTTTCCAACCCAGTCAATTCTATGATTCTATGATTTGGATGTAAAAATATTTTCTAACTGAAAAGGCAAATTCAATATGTTGTTTTATCTGCTTCTATGGAACATTTGTAACTGTCAGGCACAAAATAATACGTACAATAAAAGTGGAGGTAGGGGGAAAGGCTGAAATAATACAAAGTCAAAATTACAGAAAACTGGAAATGCTGAAATTAAGTTTGCCTAGAAAAATTCTATCTGTTCCACCTTGCATGTATGCAAACAATAAAATCTATAGTTATACATACTATCTACCATCGAATCCCAGCTAATTCCACACAAGGTTGGCTAATCACTATTTTGCTTTGCCTCATTATTTTCTTTGCATCTATTGCACTCTGTTAAAAACGTGCTTTGAAGACAGTACTGTCAGTTTCCCTCTTGGCTTCTCTTCTCATAAGTGTTTATTGCTGAAGTCACACAGCTCTTCACAACTATTAATTAATTTTCAAAATACTTGCAGTGGCTTTATATCAAGTGATACTGTTCTTATGGTACTGAAGGGGAATTGAAGCACAGAAATTTATTTGTTCACTAATGTTTGGTACTTATTGGATTTTCTCTGTTTATTTTTAGCTGTGGCAAGTTAATTTGTAGAGCAACTCAAAACTGCCAGAATCTCAGAAACAAATTAATGATGCATCCATTAGGGCTTCTCCTTTCCTGAGTGACATTTCTAAGCCCTCATTCTTTAATTCTTCAGCAATGAGGTACTCACCTACCAGAGCCCAAGATTTTGAATACACGTGGGCACTGGACAGACAAGAGCACTCTAGTTTCCGTAAAATTACTCAATACAAGAAGACAGACTACATTCTGGAGTGTATGCCACAACTAAGATATAGAACTGAAAGAGTGTGCCTGTGACCTTAACTGCTTGATAAATGTAATAATCTTCCAGAAAGTAAATTCCTGAAATGTGTAATGACTAAGACTGAATAGTAAAATAAACAGTCACACACGTACTACGACACAATGATGCTCTCCCCTTTCATAGAATCACTGCCCAGTACATTTTCTTCATCAGTAATTCCTCACCCAGTTTAAAGAGGAGTTGGAATAAGAAAAGATTTTCATTGAGTTAGAACTATGCTGTTATAGTGAAAAATTCAAGACTTTCCAGAAGTAACAGGACTGGATTAAAAGTTATTAGGATTGAAAAGAGTAATCAGAAGAAGGCCCAGTATCCTGGTTCACTTAATGCACTTATAACCATGAAGATCAGTTTAACTTTGGAGTTCCTCCCGAAAGATGAAAATTAATATAGAGAAGTTTAAAAGAGAACCACAAAAGAATTCTGTCTTAAAACATATTTGCATCTTCCTCTAGATATGATTTTGATATAATATTATTAATATAATTCATTTTAGCCATTCCTTTTGCTAATCTTCAGAATAAACTGTCTACATTACTTTAGGCTTTCCAGGCAATGGATACTCAGTTTATCATTTTGGTGTGAACTTACTTTACTCTAGGGAAAAATAGACTTGAAAGAACTATTCCAGTACTTTCTTCCAACAATTAAATGCTAATTTCACATACTGGGACTGGGATGAAGTTAGCTTTCTTCATAGCAGTCTGTATGGTGCTGTGCTTCAGATTTTTGCTGAAACACTGTTCATAACACACTGATGCTTTGGTTATTGCTGAACTGTGCTTGCACAGTATCAAGTATTTCTCGTTTTTAGTCCCTCTGTGTCCTCCAATAAGTAGAGAGAGGATGGGCAAGGATTTGGGAGCACACAGCCAAGACAACTGACCCAAACTGGCTAAAGGAATATTTCATACATCTAACATTAGGCTCAGCAATAAAAAGTGGTGATAGAGAAAGAAGTGGAGGGAGAAGGAGGATCATCTTTCAAGGTGCCACTGCTTGGAGAATGACTGGGAATCAGTCCGTGGTAGGTGGTGCATGATTTTCTTTGCATCACAAGATTTTTGCTTAGAATCATATAACAATTTACACCTACAAGCGCAGGGAAAACTAAATTGAAGTGATGCTTAATCTGAAGTGACTAAAACATGGATGAGTAAGATTTTTTATTTCAGTATTGTATGGCATTCTTCCTGTTTTCCTTAATAAAATACACCAAATATCTGTTTCAGTACTTTACAACAGGAACAACAAAGTAGTTGGTGGTCCAGGAAATACATTATTATCAATAATATTCAAGTTTTTCAGAAGTTCTGCAGTTATACGTGGTATTCTGCTTGTTTTCTGAGTATGTCTTTAAACCCACATTCTGTCTCCAAAAGCTCACAGTCTGAAGAAAGAAGCACTGCACAAAACCTGGAGAAGCGAAAAAATAAAATAAGAATTTTTAAAAA